ACATTGCAGGTCTCGCCGGAACAGTGAAGGGTAGTTTGATCGTCCAGAAAAAGAACCGCCTGATCATTCGAAGCTATGGAGACACGGAGACAGCGTTCATTCATCCTGTCAAAGTTGGTGGTGTTAAACTGATGTTCTATCAAGGTGATCTGGAAACAGAGCCTACTTGGGGTCATCTCCGGGTTACATACTATGACGAAGAGATGCGCATCACGTTGCGGGAAGAGTACAAGAATGGCGTGGTGACCAATGAATTTGTTTACGAGTACGCGCTGAAGCAACTTCAGCGTAAGACGAAGATCTCGAAAGTCAAGAAGAGTAGGGTGCCTCTAAGCAGAACCTGCCGCGGCGGCCAAGATGAGGGTGCCAAGGTTATCTACAACCGGAAAGGCCACATCGAGTCGGGAAGCTATATCAACCATGATAATCTGGTCCGCTTCAAGTATCATTATCGCAAGAACGCCAAGTACGACGACGAGCTCCTTCGCGCCGAATTCGTGCTGCCACATATGTCAGCCAACGTCAGCTGGTGTGCACCTCCTGTTCGCCATGCCGAGAAGATGGAGCGCTGGATACCCACCCCTCGCGTTCACGAAGCGACATTTGTTCAAGGAGCCGACGTATATGAATGCTCATGGCTGTATGACCACAAGTTTCATCCAACCATTACCACAAAGCTTAACGGCGCCCCAGTCGACACCCCGGATATGATTCGTCATGATTGGCTTGGCGTACTAAAGAAGCCAACTCGATGTACTTTCGCGGACGAGAATCCCTTATTAGCCTTCAAGTCCCCGTCTTCCAGTTTCTTCAGTCGGATGCTGCGAACAAACATCAAGCAACAAGAGATTTCCACTTCCAGAGCTCGATCCCAACTCTGGAAAGCTTGGAAGAAGCGAAACGATCTGGATGGTGTTGTCATCCGGTGGGTAGATGAAGAGTTGATCCGCAAAGAAGCCCTCCTCCGACCATATTGGAGACGGAGAGATCGCGGTAGTCTCGTGAAGGCGGAAGACTATCTGGCAATGCACGCCGATGCCATCATGGCCAGCTCAGATCTCACAAGCGACATTAGCGCATGGACGCCACTTGCAATTCGAATAAGTGATTTGTTCAGCTTTGGCCAGGGTGGGGATGCCGTTATCTTCACAAGGACCAAAGCACTACAACGCGACACTGACCGTAACCTACATGTTATCGCTGTCGATACTGGTACTTGGCCAAATGAAGGCGGTGGTGTCTCGGCGTGTCGTCGAGATCTCATCAACAACTTGCGCACTATCAAATGGCACATGGTCGTCGAATCGGCCAATGACTTTGGCTTGCCGAAGCACCAAACCGAAGAGAACGTTGAGTCACTCAAGGTGATACCACTGTGGGGGCTGGACTTCATGCATCCAAATCATGGTATGTTCACCAACAAGCTGGACAGCGAGGTCGACCATCTGGTCAAAGCAGCAACAATATCCGACATCGAGACGAACTTCATTCCAACCCTGACTGCCCTCGTCCGCGGCGCTCGAGCTACCACGATGACGTCAGCAGATGTCAAGCAAGCGACGCGGGCTTTGGTCAACCTGAACACCTACTTCCAGGATTCGCGTCACTGGAAAGAGGTCTGGACAAGCGATGTGGTCAAAGATACATGGAGGAGACTGTGGCTCGATGAAGACATGCCGAACGCGCAACCGCCCTCAGAATGGTTCCGTACTGAGCTTCCAACGCTCAATCACTTCGATACGGCGCTAGAGCTGTGGTTCCGATGCAAGTAGTATCCCCCTTTTGATCGCGACGAAGCTAACTCGAGTAGATCTATTCATTTTCTCGATCCCCATCCCCGAAAAGATACCCCACGTCTTCCAAGCCTCGCACCACAGCGTGTCAGCGTCCTACGGGATCGTTTGCAAGCTGAAGCGCAACTGCACACTTCAAATCTGGGATCATGCAATCTCCTGGCGTGAGACTAACCTCTACCTCTCATCCGCGATGTGCACTCTGCCGCCCTTCATCCGAAACTCGCTACTGGGTCTAATGAAGTTGACATCTTGTCTCATCTTGCACCACGCCGATCAGATTCTTCCCTGTGCAGGTAGGTGCACCGCATCTTTTATCCCAGTCCAAGTGACTAATTTGATATGCTAGACTTCTTCAACCCCGGCTGGGAGGTGGAGATCGGTAGCGCAAAGGGTCAACTCACCCACCGCAACGTGTTTCGTCGGAAGGTCGATCCCATCGTCAACGGTATTACCGACATGACCAAGTTCTCTCCGGTGACGGAGATCAAGACGAAGACGCCGACAGTAACCATGCTGTCCCATGTCTGGTTTGCGAAAGATATCAAAACAGCCCTCCTTGCAGCAGACATCATCACCAACGAATGGGGTTTCAAGGACTACAAGCTCGATATCTACGGCGCTCTCAACAAATCGCCCGTCTACTCCTCCGAATGTCAAGAAATCTTGGCTTGCAAAGGTCTTGGACAAAACGTAGCGATGCGCGGCACTGCAGACCCAGCAATGGTCCTTGCGAACACTTGGCTTTTCCTCAACTCCTCCGTTTCGGAAGGACTACCGCTTGCGCTTGGAGAAGCGGCACTTACCGGAGCGCCAGTCGTCTGTACTGACGTCGGTGCGTCGCTGCGCGTGCTCACTGACCCTGATGACGGTAAACGATATAGCGAAGTTGTGGCACCCAATGATGCATACGGGCTCGCACGCGCGCAGATCAACTTGCTCGCTATGCTGGATGAGTGGGCTCAATATGCCGACGACGGCCCTGGGGTAGCGGCACCAATCTTACCTCACAAACCCACACCGAAAGACGTCGAGATCATCACGCGCCGGATGTACGAAAAGTCTGAACATCGACGAAAGCTGGGAATGATGGCGCGCAACATCGTCCAGAAGTCCTTCGGTGGTGAACGCTACCTTCGCGAGCATGAGCAGATGCTCTGGATTGGTAAAGCCTGCTACGAGATGCTGGATCTGGAGAAGCGGACACCACCTCCACGAAACCCAGCACGAATGTTGTCGCTCCGTCGTAGTCTGCCCCGACTTCATCAACGGGATACTGCATCGAGCCACATGTTCGATGCGCAGATGGAGAAGATGATGCACCCGCGCCCGTACGCGCCGAGACGAACATCGGCAACAACGTCGTTCTCGTCGGTATACATCGACGAACCATCAGGTTCCTCTTCGACATACTCTGACCCCATTTGGGAGCACGAAGAGTGGGACTTGCATCATGAGTCGCCCGAATCGTCGGTCAAGTACGAAAACTCCGACACTGACGACTGGCCGTTACCGGCCATAACCCGTCCTGCGAGATCGTACTCGGGTGTTGGTGTTAATGCCAACGCAATATCTCCTGCTGCTAAAGGGAAAGGACCCGCACGGTACTCGTACTACGGACATGAAAGCAATCGGGTCTTCAAACCTGCATCACCGAACGCGAAGATGGATCCGAAGAGAGCGGTGCTCATGCGTCAAAGTCTGACAACGACGGAGAGTGCGCGAAGTAGTATGAGAGCGAGGAGTCATTTGAACGAAGTGGAACTTGCTGAGTATGGGAATGTTGATGGGCAGCTATGATCTTGGGGAGATGGGAGTGTTTTTTTCTGCGTCTGCATTCATATCCACGTCCGTTGGTGGTATGTCGAAGTTCAGTATCTTGAGTGGCGTCAAAGAATTTGCAATCGCTCATCAAAGTACGAGGGCAAAGTGCTAGGCTGGCAACTTGCTCAAGTTCTCTGTCAATGAGCTCTTTCACTTGAACCAGCTATGTCTTCCAGCTAGGCACTGGGTCCGTGCTAGCGGTGACGTACGCAGTAAAGCATCGAGCAAACATTTCGTTCATAATCTGCCTGCTTGGCAAGTGCTATCTCCTCAGGTCGATACTTGACCGCCTGACCGTACCCACAACAAAACAACGCAGTTTCTTCAGCACTGGCTCTTGGATGTGCATTGTCTACGGCCAAGTCAATCTCTTTCCCTCTTCCCACACCTCACCCAAGCCGCCGGAGATCCCCAGCCATGGCCCTTTCTGCGCTACCGCCGGAGATCCTTAGCAGGATATGTCGCTTCATCATCTTGGAAGATGATATGTTCGACTGTACTCTGCCTCAAGATCTCGAGTCGCTCCGAATTTCTTGCAGGTCTGTCTACCAGAAAACGCTATTCGATGTTGGGGTTCTCTACGGAGAAATGTTAGACCACCTAGTGGTCAGACTTACCTACAAATCCCTCGGCGTCCTATATTCGATGAGCCGCGCTCCTTATTTCCGAGACCGACTTCGCGAAATCAGATTCGATACGTCATGCGACAGTGTGTATTGCGACGGAAGGTCTTTCTGTGATTGTGGTGAATACGCGGACAGCTCATCTTGGGAAGAGCAGACTGCCTTTGCGAACTCTCCCGAAGCGGTTTACATGATGACAGAAAGCTTCAAGAATCTGGCAAATTCGACCTCATTGCTGACAATCTACCTCTGCGAAGCGACAACTTATCCCACCGTCCTTGCCGCACTCAACCTCGCCTCTTTCCCCCGCCAAATAATCCACGTATTGGTGAATCCAAAGGACTACCAACTATCATCGCACAATCGCTTTGTGAACCCATTAATCGAGTCTCCGCATCTCATCTCGCATCTCGAGTTCCAAGCCACTTTACACAAAAATCCCGGGGACATAGAGCCAGACATGAGAAGAGTTGACGTCGCACACAACGAATTCGGCCGCCACTACTCTGGCTACAAGTCCGTCACCCCACAAGTAGCAAAGCTAGCCGCCAAACTCTCGAGCGTGAAGGAAGTCAGCTTTCGCGGATGCGACACCGTTCCACGTCTACGATTGTGTCACGGATGCGAAGATGTATGGGTCGGTATCTTCGCCAAGAATACTTATTCGAATCTTACTCACTTGGAGCTTTGTGGCGGCTACGTGAGTGGGAGTCGTCTTCGAGGCTTTCTCAAACGACATTCTGGAACGCTACAACACGTCATGTTCGACTTCGTATCTCTGACCGACGGTAACTGGTGCTCGATCGCGAAAGGCCTGCAGAAATGTCCGAACCTCAACTATCTGGACGTGGGCCCGGATACGACGACGGGTCGCTACATTGGCTCTCTTCGTCAAAGACACGCTTCATCACCTCTCGCGATCAGCCTACCAAAGAAATACGTCACTCCTGGCCTTGAGGCCTCAAAGCTCCAAAGCGATGACTCGCACATTGATGTTATACTGCGTAACACGAAGGATGTCGCACACTGGCTGGACGTATTTGTAAGATACTTTGCCACGGATAAGAGCATTGCCGGCGACTGTTATGAGGCGTTCAATGGCTATAAACTTCCGGTCTATCACGAGGCCCGTACGTTCCTTCTACCTTACAACAGTGTGAGTATACTCGATACTCGGTCACGGGCGAAGATAGCTTTGGAAAAGTATCTGGAGGCGGACGAAGAAGCTTGAGCAGTATGCAAGTACGCGTTGATGAGGGGGACTATGAAGAATGAGGGGGACTATGCTGGGTAATACCAACACAGGATGAGCCTGTTCGTACGCTACACTATCACGATGGAATTCCAAAGCAGAACAGGGCGATGAGACGCGACCGAGATTGTATGTAGTAACCTTGACGCAAGGCATTCTCAGAATACCTTGTGTTCCATGTATCCAGCTATAGGAATCGATAAAACTCGTCCTAATAACGTTTGCCCATGACCAGCGCCTTACTCCCCATCAACTTCCACAATGTACTTTTCCAGCGCCTTCAAAGCAGGGTCACGATCAATAGTCTCCGGGCCGTAAGCCTTCGAGAAGATCGGGAGATCCACCTTGTGATAGTGCGGCAAAGGCCACGGCAAATATCTACTACCCGTATATCTTTCGGTGCAGAAATTCTCGATAAAGAATGCCAGATAGTGGCGAACTTTGTCTACACCCGCATCGTCATCTTCGGGGTCCTCGCATTGATACACAGGTATCTGTTGGCCTTGCAGTCTTGGGACAGCACCTTTCTGCAAAAGATCATGGTCGAGAACAAGCCCACGCAAGAAAGGTAGCTTCTCTAGCCCTCTTGCGATTGTCTTCCATGAACCATCGGTCAAGACGTTGTTTGAGAATTCCAAGTGAGTGAGTGTGTGGCCTTGCTCTCGGAGCCACCTTCGAAGGCGGCCACCGCTGACGTACATGCAGAACAGATGGAAGACCGTTAGATGACTGAAGGCGACCTGGAAGATGTGGGTAAAGGTGTCGTCGCACGCATTACAAAAGCGCAAGTAAGGCTCGCATATGCAGCCTGAGATGTGCAGATGCTCGATATCGCGCAGACCGAACCAAAAGGACGCGACAGCTGGCTGGCGAAGGCGGTAGTTCTTGATGTGAATGCCTACTTCGTTCTTGTATTCGCCCAGCTCCTGGATGAGTTCCTCGTCGTAATCTAGTACTCCTGGAACACCCCCGTCTGTTGAGATACACCTGATATAGGGCACGTAAATCGCAGGCGATCGTCCGAAATCTCCATGACCCGGCGGGGATATAAGGTCATGCGGGGATGCGTACACGATATCAAGCTTGACTGGGAATTGAGCCTCCACTAGAGCCGCCAAGGAAACATGTATTGATGCAGACCTGGAATGTTGCACTTGTACAAGGCGTTTCGCCTTGGCCAACCACCGAAAGCACTCTGTTAGAAGGAGAACGGCTTCACTTGATTGGATGAACATTTCTCTCTCTTCGTCGCCTGGGTGGAGTGGCGATGATGGCTTTAGGATGTGGTCGAAATCATGGCTTGCGTATGGATCCAATTCCAGTGCCACGATTCGATCACGGAACTCCTCGATTTTAACAATTTGCAAGACTCGACAGAGGGATGGATAGGTGAACTTGATTTTTAGCACGCGAAGCATAGGTCCGTAGCGGATAATCGCATCGTAGGTTGTCCGCTTGTACAGTTCCCTGCACGTGAGGCGTAGGGAGTGGAAGTCCTCGTTTTCGTACTTTCGCATCTGGTGATCGAGACCGATAAATCGACACACTCTACTGAGCAATTCCTTTGGGAGGTCTAACAAGGACATAGCGCGATGAAATCTGCTGAAGCTGAAGCTGAAGGCGAGGAGAACGACTTGCTGTGAGGAGACGAACGCGGAGCTGACTGTATACCACTTCGATGTTTGTGCTAGCATGCACGGGATCGCGACAGTCGCAGCTGGCAGCACACGCGCGACATCCACGCGGTCTGCTACCAACAAACCCATCTCTTCACCCTCTCAAAGTTTCGCACAATACGTCTGCACCGGCACAATCCCGCCACTCCTATCCGGCGGCTCTCTCATCGCAACCTCCCTCGTCCGCGCCAAACTCTCCAACTCGTCCAACCTATTCAGCGTCGCCTTCAAATGCTCCTCGAAGCCGGGTTGTTGTACAACCTCCCTAAACGCATTCTGCATCGGTACAGAATCCGCTCTGACCATACCATGCGCATCGATATGAATCACGTTGATGTGATCGAACGGGTGGACAAAGTCGGCGCGCGTGATAATTTGGCGGGCCTCGTGTAGCGGAATCTGGGGAAGCGTGAACTGGTCATCCAAACCGGGTGTCTCGTTCTCGCGCAGGACAAGGGCACGTGCTAGGACAATGGCGGCGGCGCAGTATTTTTGCTGTTCTTCTACGTCGTCGTCCATGGAGTCGCCGAGGATCCAGCAGTTGTTCAGGAACCACATCTTTTCTCTTCGGTTGATCTGCTTGCATGTTTCTAGCATATCGTGGGATTTGGCGACTTGGTTTAGGAAGATGAGTCGGCCGCCGACTTTGGCGAAGACTTCGTCGAGGATGCTTTGGGGTACGTCTTCGTTGTGATAGCGAGCGCGGTATTGTTTGAGTGCGGTGGTTACTACGTTCTTTCGGACGTCTCTGACGCTGATGACGTGCATGTTGGTCGCGTGTGGTGTCAGGCGTTCCAAGGTCCAGAATTCGTCGGAGGTAAAGACGGTCGTGACAAGCTCATTGCCCGCCCAAATTTCGGCGCGCTGCTGCAAGATCTCCAGTAGATGTTTCCCTGCTTCATCATCCTTGAACAGATGGATGTTGTTGATGATCATGAGAAGAGGCTTGCCGCGACGCTTTCGTAGCGACAAGGCCACCTTCTCCATCTGGTTGAGTGCTCTCTCAATGTCCAGCAGCGGCGAGCTGTCCCTCGGGCCCCGAATGCTGAACAGTCCCCCAATGTAGTCTTCGTGGAATTCGTAGTCGATGGCCTTGCCAAGTCGCGTTCGAAAGACTTCCAAATCGTTGTGTGCTTCTAGCATAGCAATACCATCGCCGTTGACCTTCCGCATAGCTTCCAGAAGTAGTGCCCGCTTGCCAGTACCTCGCTCGCCGATGACCAAATAGTATCTTCCCCTGGCTCTTCCGCTGACGACGTTGTCGATATCTTCCTGCTCCGCTCGCGGAACCCAGTATTCCCTCTGTACAATCTCTTGTATCTTGTCTGGCTCCGTGCCGTATGAGATGCGACCCAACGCAACCCGCTCTTGCGAACTGTATCCCGTTGCAAAGGCATTCTCGATCTTCTTCGCAACCGTCCTCTTGTAGAACAGACTATATGCATAGCCGCCAAGGCCCAGGCCGAACAACGATATCAGAGCTACCGTGCTACCTTCAAGCACGCTCCTTGCAAACTTGCTTCGGTCTTGCTTGTCTCCATCGTTCGGACCGTTATTTTGTGGCTTTGCTGATTGAGCGTTGTTCGAGGGCTGCAAGAAGGAGGGCGTAGGTTGGAAGCGGGCGGGGTGTCTGCCGAGGGGTAGGACGAGCCATCCTGCCATTGTCAGTCGTGCAGCGGTATTGGGGTCCCGAGGTCATATGCGCTGGCTTACCTCTTCTAGCACGATGAATAGAGCGCCTCATCTGCCCTGTAGCAAAGAGATCTGGTGGACGTGTAATCAAGTAGGGCACCTAGGTACGCGTCATGTAGGTGGATGCACGAGCACGTCCTGGCCAAGCGTTCGACGCCTTGCCGGATAGCCGAACATCTTCATGGAAGATGAGGACGAGGGATGAAGCCATGCATCTCCAACAAAATCGGGTGCCATTGACAGTGTATGGCGAGCTCCATGGAAGGGAGCGTGCTGGAAGATGGAACGGCCTTCGGAAACGCGTCTTTCCAAGATCCAGGGTTCGCGCTAAGGGCACGCTCGCAGCCTTGGAACATCGACAGTCCTTGGAGGTTACCTAGGTAATGCTCCACACTATCATCGAGAAACACCAAACACCTCACCCTAATACTTACTAAGCATCGTGACCTCCTTGTGCTTCTAATGTCATGGAACAAGGCGTTTTTGCTCATTGATCGTGTGGAATTGCAACTACGTGCAATGATACTGGCACACGGCGAGACAGCAAAAACCCATCTTCCATCACACCCACCACTATCCACCAAACCAGCGAACCCATCTCATCAGCCTAACAAAAGCATCCTCACCACCACTACTCGGCCCTGCTTTCTATCAAATCCATCACATGCAACCCTCGCGACGCTAACCCAACACAGCCTAACCCCTCCACCAGATCGACAGGGTCCACAGGTGCAAACGCAATCCATGAGGCGACTCGGAAGGCCCAGACGTCCGTTTCCCACAGCATCGGGCACCCGTCTCATGACCATCACGGTATTAGGCAGCTAAACCTTGCGAACACGATATGTAGCTTCTCCTTCGCCATGGGGGCGGTTTGCCTTTTTGCTTCTTGTTACCTACATACCTTGTGACGATATGACGAGTTTGACGAGCGAGGCGAGTGATGCCAGCTCTCCTCCAGCCTCACCAGTCTACCCCGCCCGATCAACACCATCGCCCACGCGACGATCACCCCGCCATCTCCTCACCAAGCTGTACACTTCACATGTACTTTCAACGTGGAATGCGCGCACCTTTGAATTCGGCGCTGTGATCTTCCTGGCCAAAATCTTCCCTGGAACGCTCTTCTTCGCATCATGCTATGCGCTTTTCCGGTCACTCGCCGCTGCCGTCCTCGGATCATGGATTGGAGGGCTAGTTGACCGGAGAGATAGATTGTGGGTTGTGCGCCAGAGTATTGTGTGGCAAAGAGTTAGTGTCGCGGGGAGTTGTGCGATCTTGGTAGCGATGCTGGGTTTGGGTGGAGAAGAGAAGGATATTGGGATGGTAACCTACGGATTATTCTTCATCAGCGTGGTGCTGGCATGCATCGAGAAACTCGCCTTCGTCGCCAACACCGTATCCGTGGAGCGCGACTGGATCGTCGTTGTATCCGAGAGTCTAGCTCTCGACCGTCAAGAGCTGAACAGCGCGATGCGCAGGATAGATCTCATCTGCAAGCTCATCGCGCCCGTCGGCATCGGACTCGTAGACGGATACTCCTCCAAACTCGCCATCTGGGCCGTCTTCGCACAAAACGCAATAAGCGTGTTAGTGGAATACTTCGCCATC